CCCCCCCCCCTCCCGCCCACCTGAGCTCTGCAAACAAGTTTTGTTTGGATGATGGATGGATGAGGATGAAAAGCTGCTTGCTGGAAAAGAAACCGTTCTATCTCTATCTTCTCTTCAGTAGCAGCAGCGGGGGAACAGAGAGTCAATACGAAATAAATTGCGTTGCTGATGAGGGAGGCTATTCTGATCGCCTCGACAAAATTCCAAAAATACACCTTCGCTGTGGCTGTTAAGCTCGCTCGGATTATTGTAAAACCTGCTTCGGTCGGTCATCACTTAAAAAATTTTCATTTACGTATTTATTTACCACGGACGTATTTGGTATGATAACACGCCAATCGCTTTCCCAACTCTTTCGCAAAAACTGGGAAATACGCACTAAAATCATGTTTTCCTTGTCATGTTGACAGCGCCTCTCTAGGCGATGTGGGGCGTGAAGCACTTTCGCCGCTCCGGCTGTGCCGTGTGATAATAGTAGAGGCAAGGGGGGCCTTTCCGCGCTTCTCCGTCGGGCTAAAGCTGCCACGACAAGAGTGAAATTTTGAAAAAATAAAAGACGAAATGTTCTTTACGATCCCCGGGAACGGGACGAAAGATGGGCTTGTTTTGCGATTTCCTAGTGGTCCCGCGGGCCGTGGAAGTTGAAAGGCTCCAGGATGGGGTGCGATGGGTTGGAAAGGGTGAGGGAGACACGGCACAGGAGGGGAGGGGGAGGGGGCATCTCGCCGGCGCCAGTTTGCCAGTCGATTAAAACGGGAAGCGTCGGGATTTCAGCCGCAGAGATCCGCAAGGGCTTATTTCCCTTTCCATTTTTTTTTTTCGTGGGCACTCTCCCCGCTTAGCGGTTCGACGCACACGCAAAGCTGGACAAAATATGTTGTCACCTCGCTGCCCCACGGGTTGGGGGCTTTCGATGGTCGTGCCGTTATTTGTTTTCCAATACAAGTTGTTTTGGTTTTGATTTTTTTTCTTCAAAATCAAAATCCACCAAAATGCTAGTCTGCAAAAAAACTATCAAAGAAGTAAGAAAGACAGACTTGCACGGATTTTTATTTTTGTTTGCCCATTGTATTGAACAGGGCTGGAACTACGAGACAAAACGGAGCGGGTCACAACTATTTCCAATGCATCCGATTTGTGCGCATTGGACTGCGCTGATTTGAATCGCTTCACAAATTAAAATAAACTTTTAAATTACTGCAGAACCCCAATGTAACGGGCCGGCCTCGCTGTAAGATTGTGCTTTTCTTTGCTGACATTTCCATTGACACAGTCTCGCTGAGGCCCAATGGCCGAAGGGGTGGAGGGTGTTTCTCAATCACGCACGCACGCCGCCCAATTTGGGCCGGCCTCCCCTCCGCCTTGCCTTCTTTGGACTAGCTAACGGAAAAGCCAAAGGGAATAAGGCGCGAGAGGAAACTTTCTATTATTGTGGTCCTTCAGCCTGGATTTTCATTTCATACCGCCTTTTCCTCGTCAAAAATAAACTCCATCCGGAACGGCTTCTGCCGATGCCCTAGTTTTCACTGGCAATTTAAGTTTTGTTATTGCTTGACTTTTGTTTTTGCCTATTGCAGGTCTGTCTCCTCTTGGTGGATTTCACTCGGAGCGAACCGGTCTCCAGAGTAGCTGTGAACGCGACTTCTCACACGGAGGACGAGGCCGGGCTGGCTGCGGGGGCGGAGGTACCCGGGCGGGACCAGGGCCACGGGCAGGGCGGGCGGCAGGGCCGCGAGGACACCGCCACGGTCGCACCCAACCACCGCTACCCCCACCACTTCTCGCACCGGCATCTCCTCCTGCCGCCTAGGCTCCACCACGGCCGCTCCCTCAAGACTCATCAGACCACAGGCGGCGCCCAGCCCACCCTAGACGAGAGGTGGGAGGACCGCTCCGAAAAACCGCTCGAGGACGAGCAGTACGACGACGACGAGGAGGATGATGACGACGACGCATACACGGAGGCCTTCTCGCACTCCGCGGTTGGGCGTGCGTACCGGTCATTGCACCTCGGCGACGGCGCCGAGGATGAGGAAGTCCTGGACTCCGCGATGCCAGGACACGAGGAGAATGTTCCGCCAGGACACGGGGGTGGCGCGTTCGACACTTCGGAGCGCGACGACAACACACCGGAGGACATATCCGGGGACTCAACTTTGAGCCTCGGCGGGGAAGCCACAGCGGCTGATGACGTTGGCGACTCCGCCACTCGCGATAGTGCGAAACCGAAACCTTTTCAACCTCCGGGCGAGGCCTTGTTGCGGTCGCTCGCCACGCTGACTGCAGGAACCTCGCACCCGGACGAGCAGATGAAGCTGCACCCCAGCGGGGACGCAGACGAACTCCACGAGTACCCCGCCGCACCCGCGGCGAGGAAGCTGGTCCTCGAACGCCCACTGGAGGCCGAGCCAACGGCGCAGGCGCCCACGCCCGCCGAGGATAGGTCTGACGAGGGGCACGGCGAGCTAGCAGTTGCTCTCCCTTACCAGGGCTCGCTCGACATGCGGTGGCCGGGTGCGCTCCCTGATGAGCGCGACCGCGACCGGGAGCGCTGGGCCGAGCTTGTGAGGATGCAGCAACAGGGTGCCACCGCAAGAAAAAGCGCACACCACCGACAGGACGCACAGCGCAAGAACTTTTTCGCGGAGCTCGGCACCATTCAGGGCGAACAGTTCATGCTGCCGCACTACCCTCAGGTGCAGGACAACCTCGGCCCGGTGCTGTTCCCCTCCAGCAGCAAGCAGCAGAGCGACACTGCCCCGGCGCCGCACTTTGTACCCAAAAAGCTGATGAAGATGATGGGGGGCACCAGGCCGTGGCCAGCATACCAGTCGCACCCAAGCCAGAACCAGTACCTCGTCGTAAACAACAAGGGGGTCGTGATCCCACACAGCGTTAACTTTCCAGACATCGTTAAGACGGCAAACTACCCTCAGCTGCAGAACTATCGCAACCAGCAGAGCAGCAGAAACATCCAGGACATCCTGAACTACCTCAAGGGTGGAAAGAGGCGCCCTAGCTCGTGGAACGCTGCCGCATTGAAGAAAGCCGCAAAGGTATCGGGCATGTATTCGACCTCGCCGTCTTCACAACTTTCGGACTACGATATGCTTTCCTATCCGAGACCCGAGCCCTACGTGAAGGACCTAGTGAGCTCCGCCGAGGCCTCCGACAAGCCCGACTTCTACAACGGGCACGCCTACATCGCTGACCCATTCCACCCGTACAAGCCCTCGGACCCGACCGAGATCAATCAGATGGCCTCCACTTTGGACTCTGACACCTCGGCGTCGATGAGCTCGGAGCGTATGCGCCACCCAGTCTTTGTAGACGAGGTCGGAGAGCCTTTCGCACCGAGGCCACCGCCGTTCGCATTCCCGGGACGATACGGCAGATACAGGCACCCCTTCCTACAGGCGGGCGCAGGTGCAGCGCAATACACTGAGGCCACTTTCAAGCCCCTGGGCGGCGAGGTGCCGGTGGCGGCCTCGGACACAATGGGCGTGGTACGGGCCGGCAGCACCGATGGCACCAGCGTCACCAGCGGCAAGTCCGTTCCTCCCCTCAGCATTATGCTCGAGATCTTCCCCATGGGCGAGGCAAAGACCAAGGAGGGTGCGGCCACTGTCATGTGGAACAACTTCCCGGTGGCGGCGCTGAGGCCTGTCATCAGGAGGCCGCCCAGTTCCCCTACACAGGGTCTCGGCGCGCAGGGGACCCAGAGCATTGCCAGCAGCATTGGCAGCAGCATTGGCAGCGCGCTGCAGCAGGCAGAGGCGTCCTTGCGAAGGCCACAGATCAGCCTCCCAGTCGAAGGGGCCGCCTCCTCGCACGCGACGACGTCGACCAGGTTCCCCGTTCTCATGCAGGGGCAGCTCTCCGCAGGCCAAGGCCAGCCCGCCTTTGGAGTGACTCTCTCTGGTGTTCAAGGCCTCCAGAATCTGGCTGGTCTGCCCATGATGGACTCCAAGCACCGCATGGTAGTACATCTGAATTTCTACCCCAAGAAAACTGTTAAAATGCCCATGAGGTTCAGGTGAGAGCTGCAAATTAAAGTCGGTCACACGAAAGTGTCTCCTTACTTTCATGTTTGTAGACCAGGTGGCTGCCGCCCGCCCTGCTTACATAGTTAGACTGTGCCACACGCACGCGTGCGGGTGGGTTTCCTGCTCGCTTGGCCGCGTAAGGCGTTATGGTCAGAGACGATGCTAACACGACTTCAAATGTGGACGGCGCGAATCAGCCATCTGGTTTGGTTATGTACTGGCTTGATAAATTTATAGTATTGATGTATTTGTTTTTCCTTTTAAGGGAACTCGGTGGTGGGGATAACATCGGGGCCGGCGCATCCTTCATCCCTGGAGGGACCTTCTCGCAAAGGCGGCAATGTAAGTGCAGCCAACCTAGGTGATGCCAGGGCGCACGCTGTTCAGTGCTTCATATCCTTGTCTGTTTCTCTTCACTTAGCCGCCCACGGCGCCGTCGAGGAGGCCGACCCCGCCGGGTCCATCGCCGTGGACGTGGCGCCGCTGCTGCGCTCGCTGCCCCCCGACATGCAAAGCCACCTGGCCGCCATCCTGCAGACGTACGAGCGAGCCACGGCCCTGGGCTCTGCCAGAGACGACCAGGACGACGTCAGCTCCGTCGAGGAGTCCGACGAGGACTACCTCGACGACAACGCGGGCGGCAGCGGCGAGAGCACGCTGTTCAGCAAGCGGCAGCAGCACTCGCTGTCCGCGGGCGCCGTCGACGCCGAACCCTCGCCCAGCGGGGGCGGCAGCAGCTCGGAGGAGGACGCGCGCGTCGCAGGGTCCCCCATGGCGCACTGGCTGCTGGGCCGTGAGCGGCCGTGGCCCAGCCAGTCAGCGGCTGAGCACAGCAAGAAATCGTCGACGGCCACCCTCCCAGCTCCGCCACAGGCGGCCGTGCCAAAGGACCGTTCGCAGCAGGGCTCGTACTTCGACGTGCAGGACGACGAGATGGACCTCATGGACAAGAGTCGGCCTGGCGAAATCGACCAATCCTTAGAGCACGTGGCCGACGACGAGGTCTCCCCAGCCAAGGCAACCGACCGAGTTCTCCAAGACATAGAGACGTCCCTCTCGCCCCAGGAGCGCCTTCTTCTCTGGAGGCACTGGAAGGAGATGCAGGCCCTGCAGCGACGGGAGCAGCATCAGCTGCAGCAGCTGCAGCAGCAGCTGCAGCAGAGGGACGACCAGAGGAAGAGGAAGAAACAATTACAAAGAACCCAGAGGATGGACTCGACCGAGGACACATCAGCTGAAGAGACGAGTGTTGAACGAACTGTGCCTAAAAATCATCGCCTCGACTGATTTCACTTGCCGTACTTATAAATAAGATACTCGAGGATTTATTACCACCCTGCAAGACCAAGAGATGGTTTTATTGGCCGGTCCCGTTGGCCTTGCCGGGTGTTGAGTTCCAGAGTAGAGTTCCAAAGTACCAGCGAATGTACCCTTTCTCTGTGTCGAAATACAAATGACGACACACGAGCACAGAGGTAGTAGAACAAGGGCGTCATGCTTCACCCCAACTGGCGATTGAGGGCGTTACATGTCAGACACACGCTCGCACGACATGGCGCGGTGGCATGACCCGGCCACACGCAGCGCGGCGCAGCGCCGAGAACACGCGCTCCCATGAGGCCAGCAATTACACTCCAGTTAGCGACTTAATTAGTGACATGCTTTAGGGGACACCTGTCGTGCGCAGCTCAACCTCACCCTGGTTAGTTTTAATGCGGAACGGTTGATATGGCCTGCGCAGCGAGTGGATGGCTCCACGAGGTCCTGGAATTACTTAGTACATGTATCAAGTGTTTACTGTTCTTATCTTTTATTATTCTAGCTAGGCCTCTAGCTTGGCCTTTCCCTCTCCCCGTTTCCCCTTTTCTTCCGCGATCTGGTCGGCTGTTGCGGGCGGTCGTTTCTCGCCGCACCCTCGACGTCCACGTCGTCGTCGCTGTTGTTCTCCTTGTCGTCGGCGTCGTTCTGGTGGCGCGCCTTCTTTCTCCCGAGGGGCAGGGCCGTCTTGGGCCGGGCGCCGCCGATGGCCACCGCGTCCGTGCCGGCGTCGGCCCGCGCGGAGGCGAAGACGGACCCTGGGGTGGCGGGGCGGCGGGGGTCCGGGTCGTCATCGGCCTGCCGCGTCCAGAGACAGGAGAGCGGCGCGCGCGGGAGCGGCCCGTGGATGACGAAGGGCGCCAGGCTGGGCTGCGGCGGCGGCGTCATGCGCTTGCCCGGCCGCCTCTCGTCCTGCTGCTCCGGGCTGCTCTGGCCGCCGAGACCGCCGTGGATGACAAAGGGCGCCAGGGTGGCGTACGGCGGCGGCGCGGCCTTCTTCTCCCTGCGCGGCTGCGGCTCGGGCGGCGGCTCGGGCGGCGCGCCCTGGATGACGTACGGCGCCCAGGTGGCGTAGGGCGGCGGCGTGGCGCGCCGGCCGCGGCGCTGCTGTTCAGGCGGCGTCGGGTCCGCGCCCAGCCCCTGCACCACGTACTGCACCGAGGTGGGGCAGGGCGGCGGCGCGTACCTCTTGGCCCGGCGCGCGGGCGCGTCCAGGCGGCGCAGCGCCTCGGCCTCCTCCGGGCTGCACTGCAACAACAGACGCGTGCAGGGCAGACCGTGCGGATACCGTCAGGGGCGAAGGCCGTCCTTTACCCACACGCTTCTTTTTTGGTTGTGATCTACCATCTAACAGGCAACTCCTAGCAAGCGGATCGCTGGGGTGGAAAGAACTGCCGACGGGGTGCTCCAGTGGCCTCAGCCTCTTTCCCCATCCCGAAAGTTCGGCCGTCATTCGCCGTTACGAACCTATCCCGAAGCTCTTATACCGCCTGGTAGGTAGGCAACATCTCGCCTGCAATGCATGCGTGCACTGCGGGCTAGCGCATCCTGCGTCTCGCAGGCGCCTAGCTTCTGTGATTTTCCGAAAGAGTCCTGAGAAAAAACGGGCGCACTTTCTGGATGGGCGATTGCTCACCTGAATGATGTAGTGTAGCCGGTTCCGCTGGGGTCCGCTGTGAACCAACGGCGTACCCGCCCCCGCCACCGGCTGCCGCTCCCGGAGCTGCCCCTCGGCCGCCGCCAGCCGCTCCTGCAGTGTAGTGAGCCTCGCCAGGGGGCCCTCCTGCAGCGCGGTCTCGTGCTTAGGGGTGGCCGCTCTCTGAAAGGGGGGAATGGAAAACAAAATCAGCGGCGCGTGCCTTCCGCGGCTCGCCGACCCAAACGGTTTGCTTTGCAGCTCGCGCCTAGGCCCAAACTCTTACGCGCGCGTTGACTGTACCGAAGCGCGCGACCTTTAGGCCCTTTGAGGCGCGGACCTCCGCCTGCCCTAAGCCACACTTGGGAAACCGAACCAAATCCCGCACAGTGCGGTGCGCGGGCAGCGCGCCAGAAGTGCCAACCCATCGGCTGAATGACAGCTCGCCGACAGCTCGCTCTGCGGTCCATTCAGCGCGGCCGCGGGTCGGGTCGGGGTGGGGCGGCGAGAGTGTGGGCGAGGATCGGGGCTGGGCCCGACCACAGCGCTGGGCTGGGCAGGGCAGGGCGGCGCGAGGACGGACATGCTACGCTCCGCCACATAGCGAGCCGAACCGCGCGGCCCAAAGAGGCCGCAAAGAGCGGGGGGCGGATCGCGGGGCCGTGGCAGTATAGGGCTGGTCTTAACTGCCGGCCTGGGGCCCCCGCGGGGCCGTGCTGCGGCGGCTTCGTTCCGTCATGCGGGGAATCCCAATGAATACAGCCCCCGGCTCGGCTACACCAGGGGCGGATTCAA